ATTGTGGTTTTAATATTTATTTCCCTGGTGACTATTAATCTTTTCATTGTTTATGGATCATTTGTATATCTTTTTTGGTGAAAATCCTTTTCAAATACTTCGTCCATTTATCAATTGGATCATCTTTTGTTGTTGTTAAGATGTAAGATTATTTAGACATTTTACATGCAAGTCTCTTATCAGATATATGATTTGTAAATATTTTCTTCCATTCTATGGGCTTACTCTTTTTCCTCCTTCTTCTCCTTCATTTTTTTTTTTCTGGGAATTGAATCCAGAGGTACTTAACCACCAAGTTACACCCCCAGTCCTTTTTATATTTTTATTTTGAGACCATTTCTTGCCAACTTGCTGGGAATGGCCTCAAACTTTTAATCCTCCTGTCTCTGCCTCCTTACTAGTTGGGATTATAGGTGTACGCCCCACTCAGGTGTTTGAGTTCACCTTTATATATGGTGTGAGGTAGAGGTCCAATTTCATTCTTTTGCATATGAACAACAATCCAGTTGTCCCTGAAACATTTTTTAAAAATATTGTTTTGCTCCCTTGAATTGCTTTGGCACCTTATCAGTAATCAATTGACCAAAATCATAAGGGTTTATTTTTGGGCTTTTAGTTCTGTCCATGGGTCTGTATGTTTATATCTATACCAGTGCCACATGGTTCTTATTTCTGTAGTTTTTTAGTAAATTTTAAAATTTAAATGTATCATTTTAATTATTTCAACTAGGAGAGTATCTCATCTGCATACTGTAAATCCAAATCAATCATGATTCAATTCTTCATTTATTTACAACTGAATGCCATTAGTGATAATTCCAAATAATTTGACTTAGCTTTCTTTTCATTCCTAATAATATACTAAAAAATATATATGTAAAAACCCTTAGTTTCATCCAACTTAGAAAATAACATGATACAATTACAATTAAGGATCCCATGTATACTTTCCAATCACATTTCTCTAAATTCCTTCAAAGATAATCAATATCTCAAATGTATGTTTATCATTACCATGATTGCTTTTAGACTTTTACTTGTTGTCATTTCTCAACATCTGCTCCCTTGCCATCCTCCTTCTACTATAGAAGCTGTAACTCTACGTACTTGACACTCAGCCTTGCATGAAGATCTGAAAGGCCATAACATGGACATGACTAAAGAGGTATATTTACTTAAGTCTCTGAATTAGATGACTTTTCCAAATGAAAAGTAAAAGACTTGCTGTAGCAGTATATTTGGATGTCCATATATTTTCCATTTCAATTTTGTAGCTTGGAACATAAACATGAGGCAGAGATAACTGTGTTGTCACCAGAAAATGACAAGAATGAGGAAGAAAGTTTCTACAAATCCTCAGGACAGAGATGAAAGGTGAAAACAGTCTGGGTACCTGATAGCATTATTTGATCATTGTTCCATGTTGGGACTGCCCTTGTAGAATCTCTGTTTCTTGAGACAAATACTGCATTTCATCAAATCAAGATGCCATTGATTGTAAGACACACCATTATTCTACCTACCACTAAAAATGAAAAGAAAAAAAACTGCGGACATTAAACAATGACATAATACTTTTTCTTCACATCAATTGTACATGATGACCTAATTTTACAGATAAGAATACATGAAAAACATATGATTCTTAAAGTCAATAGAATATTTTTAAAACCCTTCTCTATTTAAAACATCATTAGTTGGGGTTCATATACTTGAAACAGAATAGGTTCCTAATTGATAGCATTCTATAATAAATAGATAAATTTACATTAAATTAATGTATCTGAAGACAGAGAAGGAGAAAAATTAGTCTTTGCTAAGAAAGCTCTAGGTCTGCAATTCAAAAAAGCTGAGAGTTCAGTAATATGCAGGTTTGCTATGCTAGACATGATCCTGTTTATTGGCAGGTTATTCCTTAGCTCCTTTCTGCTCTGATTTACAATACACTCCCCCAGACTATATTCTAGCTGAGTTCAGCAAATGAAATGCATTTACTGGAGAGTGGAAGAAGACTAGGTGCGGGTGGGGGAGATTGTGTTTCTTCTTTTTCCTCTGCATTAGTGACATCTCCATTAGTAGCTGAATCTTGCACTGGATCCAGCTCCTACCAGACAGGCCAGCCAATATTGTAACATCTCCTTAGTGACCCTAACCCCTTGTCTGTTTGTCTTTTCATCCTGGAAGATTTAATGATTTCCATTTTACTTTTCAATTTGTCCATCACCTGTGTAACCAATTCCTTGCATTAAAGTCTCTTTAACTTTTAGAATATTTAAAGTAGTTTTTGTTTCCTTGATCAGCTTATTCTTTTTAAAAAGTTTAATTCGCTGCTTTAAGTTAGAGTTATTGCACATTAAGTGAGAGAGATGGGATCCAGGAGGAGATTTGACTGGGACATGAGAGGTCTGATTCTCTGGTTACTTCTAAGCATGCAATATAATATCCTCCCTGAGTAAGGACAAAATTGAAAATAGAAATAGAAAATGTAGTGGTGTACATCCTAAGGAAAGAGAGAAGTTTTAATGACTCTCCTCCAGTTATTAATTTGAATGCTCAAGCAGAATTGTCTTTACTCTTGTTGTTAATAAGAATGTGATCTGTACATATTGTTATAATTTAATATGAGATGTCCCCCCAAAACTCCTTTGTTAATGAAAGAATATTCAGAGATGAAATGATTAGATCATGAGAACTGTAACCTGACTGGTCCATCCTAGTTTGAATGGACTAACTGGGTGTTAACTGTAGGCAGATGGGACATGACTAGAGGAGGGGGGTGACTGTTGAAGGGTGCATGTTCCCTGCCTTCCTTCCCTTCTCTCTTTCCGCTTCCTGGCTGCTGTGAATAGAGCAATACTCCCCCACTATGCCCACTTCCACCATGATGTTCTGCCTCATCTTGGGCCCAGAGCAGTGGAGTTGGCCAACCATGGACTAAAGTTCTGAAACTTGAATAAAAAGAAACTTTTCCTCCTATAAGTTGTTCTTGTCAGGTTATTTTGGTTATAGTGACAAAAATCAAGCTAACACATTAGTTTATCTTCCAAAGAGAACTCATTATTACTGTTGTATCATTCTAACTTCATAACTCTGTGTTCATTGCTTACATCTTTTTGTCTAAGATTGCTGGTCCATGTTAGCCTGGCAGAAAAGAGTTTACCTTATCTAGTTGTGATGGAATAGGATGATGCAATAAATAGACAAGGTTTGAATTGCCTCTGGGGAGAAGGTGAATACATGTGGATTATCAGATTTTGAAATTAAAGTTGTGGGGAAAACAGTATATATGGAAATAGGGCAGCCAGAAAACATTTTTAAATTTTATTTTATGTCTATTTTTTTCTTATAATTGCAATTGATTTTTCTTTGTGAAATCATCTGTTTTCCCACCCTCAGTCCAGACGATTTGGTCAATATCAACACTACCTACAGGGATAAGCATTGACTCAAGACTGACCAATGTGAATGTTCACTGAAGGGACACACACTAGTCAAAGTCAGTGAGAGGCAAAGTTAGATCTTCTGAAAGGGAATCATTCTTGCATGTTTATGCTGGACTTGGAATTGTAAGGATGTAGGTTTGGAGCTTCTAGCAGCCACTTTGCCACCATGAGAGGACATGCATGCCTGAGCCAAGACATAGGGAAGTAACAATGAGAGACATACAGGGATCCACGGTGTGATGACATTGTTGAGCTGCTGGAATCAACTATGCCTAAACCCAGAAGCAGCTGCTATGTGTAGTAGTTGTGTTAGCCAGTCCAGATGGTTGGGATATGATCTATCTTTCTTTCTTCCTTCCTTCCTTCCTTCCTTTCTTTCTTTCTCTCTTTCTCTTTCTTTCTCCCTCCCTCTTTTTGCTGAAAGAACCCTATAAGAAGCTTCTCTACATGTATGTAGTCATTTACATATTCTTTTTCTTTATCCCTCCCTTTCTTCCATCCTTCTTTCCTTTTGCCAAAAGTATCTTAACAATTAAAAAAGCACATGCTGGAGCTAAAGAGCACTTAAATTTGGTGAAAGGGAATTTAAAATGCTGTTTACATAAATAAACAAAAGCTTTCTATTAATATAATCAGGGACAACAGCATTTGGTTTAAAAAATTTAAGAGAAATGTGTTTCCCAACTATCATAGTACAGGGTTTTAGTTATATTATTACTGCCAATGAAATAGATTCTTGGGCTGAACATGCACTTTGCCTATTGGAGGAACTTAAGAAGATGTTACATAGGTATTTACATCTCACAAAATTTCATCTAGAGTTTATTGACTACTTAAGTTATAGTTTTCTCCTCCACAGTAGGTAAATATTTTCTTTATAAGATTCTGTGATCTTATAGGAAAATGAGCACTTAATGTCACATCCCCTTTGTGATCTTCAGGGCTTGATGTTAGGCAGCAGGCATCTGCATTACTACCTTTTTACTTGTTAGGAGTCCAGTTCTGACCACTTACAAATCTTATTTATGGTTTTAACTTAAAGGAGATGGCATTTTTGTTAAATAAAGTTCACCAACAAAGTGGAAGCTTTTGAAATATTAAGTGTCTAATACCTTTTTAAATTTTTAAACAGGATGCTGTTGAGTCTTTTCAGTTAACTTTTTAACTTAATTTTGGGGAAAAATATTACAGAGTTCTAGAGTTGGAAAGGAATGTAGATAGTTCAGCCCCAAACCTCCTTTTTTGGAGTGATTAAAAAAAACCCTGAGAAAACACTTATGGAAATATAAAATGGAAATTGTGGATAAAAGAATTAAAAATTGAACTTCCTTTAGCAACCATAGTGTAGAAGGAGTTTGAGCTGTTCTCTCTTTTTTACTAACATTTATTCTCCCATCACCTTTCTCAAATTCTTTCCCTGGCTACATATTGGGGTTCAGAGATAATTTGGGAATTACATACTCCTTTCTCTTTATGTGTGGTGTATAATGCTTATCTTTGTTGGTGCTGGCTTTATGTGTTTGCTATCCAATCTTTCAAGTTCTTTGGGACAAGGAGTATATAAAATATCAATTTTATTATTATTCCATTAATAATGCTAGTAAAACAGAGAATTGCATACATATTTTGGCAGAAGGGAAAGGGACAATGGAACCCTACCAACATATACAACAGTGGGGCAAGAGAATGCAGAAAGGTTCTTCTTTTCCTAGAGGCCCAGATTTCTCTCAGCCTCCTTGCTTCTCAAGAAGGGCTGAGTAAAGGTGCTCAGGCAGGCTGTGGTTTGGGGGCCCTATGTTCCCTCAGCCCAGTCTGACCAAATGCCACAAAGCAAGTCAGATAAATGCCCACAATGCCTGAGAATTAGGCAGTAATTAATAGGTGCTGTGCAGATAAAATTTTAATACAAACTTTCTAAGTGAATTAAAGAACATTAAAATGACATGACTCAGCATTTAGCTAGTACTAAAAGCTTCCTACAGAATAAATTTGACCGTAAGTATCCATTACTATTAATAGTTCTCAGAACTTTCTGGGATGTAGTAACAATATCATTGGTGAATGGAAAGTATGACTTCATACAAGAAAACCACCTCTGAATTTTTTAAAACTATTTTTTACACATGGAATTACATACAATACAAATATTTACTTTACAAGTAGAAATCTTTACAGTTATGGGTTAAGTTACAGTAATGCAGGTAATATTAGTGCATTCATTTAGAGCAGAGTTATTTATCTTCAGGGCTTAACACAAAACCAAGAATGAATTATTTGCTTAAATTGCTTTCTAGTCTTTGAACTTGAAAAAAGGATGAAAAATTACTTCTACTGCTTGTATAATATATCAAAATGATAAACAATGCCAACAATTAAGTAGTCTGGTATTTCTACAAATGGAAGATTGTATTCCAACAGCTCTTAAGTTGTAAATCCTAAGGTTCTCACTAAATATGTCTATCAAATTGTCATTATCTCAGCTTTCAGGAAAATTGCATCATCTTTGGTAATAGGCTGCCAACAAACAGAAACTATAGATTACACCATTTGTTCCAAAGAATCCTGTATTTTAATGAATAGCTGAATAAATAGACATTAATTATGAAATTCACATTAAGATAGAAGAAAATCCAAACATTCTGATTGCTTTATCTCTTAAATTTGATAGCTACTACAAAACATACTATTTATGTTAGGGTAAAAATAAACTGAATCACAGAGTGTAACTGGGAAGTACTGGCAGATATATACAGAAACATGGAGGAGCAATGAAATAAAAGCGTTCATATGTACATTATTTTTCCTTTCTTTTTGCATGGAGAAACACTGTTTTATAAAATGAGAAAACACACAGTAGACCACATGCAACAAGGACAAATACAATGTGCACAGTAGAGTAATCAAATAAGACGCAAGAACTATGGGTTTAATAAAGAATTTGAGAGCAGAAAAAAAGGAAAGAATTGAAACCTGGAATGCTTTCTTATTAAGGTTTCAGAATATAAGTTTGTCTAACAAGCCTCTTGATAATTTTCAAAGGTTCCCACTTGACCACCTATGGTTTAAATGTAGAGCTAAAAATAAACCATATTATTGTACAAAACTTTGTATATTAGCATACAAAAGGTAACAATTTACTTTTTGTATAAAATATAACCTTTTGATAGTATATTTATTTCACATATGTATAAATATAACCCAAAGTATATGTTTTAAGTATTTCTACCAAAATATTCTTTACAAAAGTTTACAAAACAAATCATTTATTTATATTTACAAATTAGCACAGAAAATCTGAGCCAGTGATGTTGGTATTCTATAAAGGAAGGAGGTTGCCTCTAGACGTTTTTAAAGACTGGGAGAGGGCTTTGCACAACTTTCAAAATGTGTTCTTTCAATGCCATGGTGGTGCACACCCGTAATCCCAGCTACTTGGGAGAATGAGGCAGGAGGATCGCAAGTTCAAGGCCAGCCTGGGCAGTATGGCAGGACCCATTTAAAAAAGTGTGTTCTTTTTTGAACAGATATTTAAAGACTTGGTTTTTAAATGACTTCAATTAAAGTACATTTGATACTTAAATATGAATGTATAACTAAAAGGCTGACAATAACCTTTGCTCCTCTGTAATTAGTATATTTTGCATCCTTCCCAAATCTGCACATCTTCCCCACTTTTAGCTCATCTGTATATGGGTACTGAGATCAAATTACTCAATAAAAACTTTGATATAGTACTCAGCCCTGTGGGATAAAACTTAGATATGAAGGGCCCATAGAATGTGGCAAGGAATTATCACATCAGGGACAGAAGAATGAATAGGCCACAACTAACATACTACATCTTATTTAGCTATTCACCCCAATTAAAATAATGTTTTCTCTTCCAATTATGCTTTCCTCCAAACTCTATGAAGTAGATTTGTACCCATTCCTACCTGCTACTTCTGTTTCTTTTACCTCCAATTAAAACTCAATACTTTCTAATCTTAGTTTTTATTTCCAACTTCCTTTTCTTACAAACCATTCTCTAGTCATCAAAATTAGTATGGAAGACAGGCTCAATTTCACTCACCTCAGGAACAAACCAGTAAGAATCAATCATAATAAATAATACCTCAGGCTACTTCTGGCCAAATAAATCTCCTTATGGCAAGTCCAGTGTCGGTTTTTTAAAAAATGAAATCTGATACAGACAGGTGTGCACCAGTATTTCAGTATGATTAGGACAAGTCTTATTTGTATCTAAAACTTGGTAGGGAATGGATTCAGATGGTTGTGGAAGCCAACATCGAGTTATGCAGCCCTTCATTCTTATTTCATTACTAGATACAACATCCCACTGAAGTATAGAATATGTGGGAGAATTGCAAAAATGAGGACCAAATCTAGGGAAGAAATTCTATCATCAGCTGGATGTTTTCTAGATTCTGGCTTTCCCTCACCTAGAACATCGTTCAGTTACTCCAAACAAATCATTTCAATCTATCCTGAAAGCTTTAGGAAAATTAAATGAAAAGACAGTGGAAAATTAAACCACACATATCTATGAGAGTAAATTAAGGAATCTGTTGCTTGTTGCTTGGAACTAGTACCTCCCCGTGACACAGGGTTGAAACAAGCTACAAATTCTATTACTTTTCTTTCAGGGAGAAAAAGAGCTTGGGATGTCTATTTTACACAATTAATTACACATTAACATCACAGTTCTGTTTGGATAAATTGGAAAATATGTCCTGGAGTTCAGATGGGGAAAAGAGATCCCAATGTTTTACTTTCAGGTTTCAAAAAAGAATTTGGACCAATATGTTCACTACAGCTAGTCTCTGTTTTTAAGCCACAGTATCTTCATGTAATCCATGTGGAAGTCAAAAGTTTGGCCTTTACAGCATCCTTGTAAAATTCTGCCGTTAGTGCTTTGAGTTTGTGAACTGTCTGCCCTTTCTCCTTCAGGAGTTGTTCCCCAAGATTTCATCAAGATTGATGTCTTTCATCCAGTCATCATTGCCAGGCTCTGTCTTCAATAACGAATCAATGAAATCAGCATCACTGTTGAGGGCTGGACCCATGTTATCAGTCTGTGGGCCGAGGAAGTCAAAAGCTAAGTCACTGCCATGGTCAGTTCCTTGAAAAGCCCTGGAACTTTGGTTGGATGAAGGAAAAGTGTTGGGTGTCAGGGATGGTGGCTGGTTTATACCTGTCCTTGACTGATTCAACCCTGTCCCTGACTGGTTCAAATTAGACAAAATCTGTGTGCTTAGCTGATTGGGTCTGAGATTCAGACCCCTGAGTGGACCCATGGTTTGTCCATTTAATGCTTGGTTCATTTGGTTCATGGGTCTCATTTGCACAGCTGGTGTTAACTGGTTAGGAGGAGCCACTGCCCTCTGGGAGAATTGCTGGCTGCCCACTGCCTGCTGCAGTGACTGGTTTGGAGTATAGGCGGCAGGCGTTCCTGTAGGGAAGCGGACTCCTGTGGACTTCAGAGCTTCCTGCTGTTTGGTTGTTGCTTCTTGAGAGGCCCAGTTTGGTGCTGTTGTGTTGGATGTGATCATAACATTGGATGTTCTCTGGGTTGGCATGCTTGCCATATTGTGGGTTAAATTTGGTCTCAGTTGTTGTGAATTGCTAACAGATCCAGCTCCAAAAGTGGCCACATTGCTATTGTTATTTGGCCCTAAGGTAGATGACCGTGACATCAGAGGGTTGTTTTGATTGGCTATAAGTTGATTTGGATTTCTCTGTTGGGTCATTTGACTCATTCCTGAAGGGACACTATATGTGCCAGGCTGATTACAAGGCAGATTTCCGTACATCCCAATGTTCTGAACTGCTGTGGATAATGATGGCATTCTTGTTCCATGAGCAGTAGACATGAGGCTGGAATTGGGAGTTAAAATTGTGTGTGTTGAAACTGGGTTTGTCAAAGCCTGGTTAGAGTTCAAACTCACCGTCGATGAGCCACCTAAGAAAGAGAAGAGAATTAGATCCACTCATAACGGGGATATTATCTCCTTCTTTATAAGCAATTTGCAAGACCTTACCGCCTCTGAAACTGATTTTAGATGCAAGAACAATTTAAGATAAATAATCATTGAACATATTATGTAAAAAGAATAAGACAGCTTTGAGGAGAAACATCACCCTGAGTCACTCCTTAGTTCAGAGTTTACGCATTATAGAAAGAGCACTAAAATAGAGTGGCTTTCTCTTAAAGATAGCGGGGAAAGGAGAAGATAGTGAAAACTTGTAAGGATGGCCCTAAACTAAGAAGGCCTTAGCCTAAGTAACTACATTTTAAAATAAAACTGCAGTCCCCACTAGCCAAGCCTATGAAGCCCTCCAATATTGTCCTTGAGCATAGCTTGATAAAATAAGTACTTTCCACAACCCTGATAAAACTCAGAGTTAAGTCATTGTCATTTGCCTTCACCCTGATAAAGGCAGAGGCAAGAGATCAGGGTGGAAACAAGCAGACCAGATGTCCTGACCCCAGAATGAAAGACATCACAGAGAGACCTGGTAACAGCTGATAGGGATTGAAAGGATGAGTAGAAACCTCAACATTTAGCATAAATGATGGAGCAAATGAATCAACCAGCTGACACTGATGCCCACATGCCAGAGAGCCTGATGAGGACCTAGACTAACATCCCAACTCTTCTCATCATTTGCCTGATCCTCTGCATCATCCTTATCACTCTCAAACTCTACAGCCTCATCTTGACCTTGGTGAGAACAGCAACTTCTTCTTAGGACCCTCTCCTCAGCCAGCAAGTCTCCATCGCTTCCTGACCTGATCACTATGGTCTGAGTGAGCGTGCATCTGCTGGACTTAAGGTCTAAGACTTGAGACTTTAGATCTGGCACTTGAGCTTAGCATGCAGAGGGAATGTCTGTAATAGGTCTGTCATGATTAAGGATATTTGCAGTGCTTAGAGTTAACTTAGAATTGTTTGCTTTGAATTGATTATGTCTATTGGAGTGCCCAGCATTAAGGATAGTCATTTTCTTGATTAAGAACCTATAGAGGGTCTGGCGCTGTGGCTCAGCAGTAGAGCGCTCACCTAGCATATGAGACAAGCTGGGTTCAATCCTCAGCACCACATAAAAATAAACAAATAAAATAAAGGTATTATGTCCAACTATGACTAAAAAAAATTTTTTAAAAGTACCTATAGAGTGGAATTGTATTGAGTGATTTGAGTGAATAAAGCATTGAAAAGGGCAGAAGCATGTGGACATTTTTTATTTCTCCCTCTCGAGTGCATAAGTTGCACCTTTGTTTGTCACAACAAAACTGAACAGTTTTCTTCTTTTCACAGTTATGATTTTTACTATTTTTAAAAAAATACTTACCAGAATACTGAGCAGCTGTTTGCAGATTGCCAACATTTCTTCTTTGGTCTTTGTAATCTGGGGGTGGCCTTGTCAAATGTCGGTTTATCTGATCTTGTGGAGCCATTTTCTCCTTGAAAACACAAAAAGAAAACATGTTAATTTGTATCATTACTTTTTCACTTATGAAATTTATGTGCTATTGAAAAAAGTAAGAATACAGGAACAATTTTGTAGTCAAAAATTATAAAGTATGGCCTTATTTAGTAGTGCTAATTCAGAGACAAATCTTTTCAATTTCAATAAACTTTCTGCATGGAAATGTCATTTTTTCTCCATAACATACAACATGCGTTTTGGGTATAGTAACTACTCTCATTTCCTTTATTTTGCAATTAGTTTTCAGTAAGAACTAAAGTTCAGTGAGTTTTGAGACAACATTTCTAGTTTTATGTCGTAGCATGCCTGATATGTTTTTATATCTATGTATGACTCAGGTGCCACGAGTTTGGAAAACCTGAGTAGCATTGCCAGATAAAATACTGAACACCATGGAATTCTGTTTTTTTATTTGTCAAATCTGGTAACCCAAAAGAGGAAGAAATATTAGGCACTATATGCCCTCTTTTGACCCCTCATAATTAATCTTCCAAGGTAAGTATGATTACTCTTGCTAAAAAAAAAAAAGAGAAAGAAAATGGAAGCTTTGTTAGACTAAGTAACTTGCTCATAGTCACATAGTATACAAGAGAGACCAAATCCTGAGTCAAAAACTTGAGACTTTTTCCTACCATATAAAAATACAAGAATTCCTTGATATTCTGGTTATCAGTGCCCCATTCTAATAGCATAGAATTTTGTCAAACTCCCTTCTATTCTTTCTTCTGGAACCAGCCACTTATAGATCTTCAGAATAGGTGAGTTTGGGACATGTTATGGTTTGCATTGAGGTGTCCCCCCAAAGCTCCTGTGTTAATGCACCAATATTGGGTGGTAAAATGGCAATGGGAGCTCTAACCTAATCAATCCATCCTAGTTTGAAAGGACTGACCCAGTGGTAACTGTAGGCAGTTGGGTCATGGGTGTAGGTGGGTCACTAGGTGAAATGGGTCACTAGGGAGGTGTCCTAGAAGGGTTCACTTTCCCTATAGCTGCACCCCCTCCATTTCCTGGCTGCCATAAAGTGAGAAGCACTACTTTGCCACACCCTTCTGCAAAAACGTTCTGCCTCACTTTGGCCCTAGAGCAATGGACTCAGCCGACTATCAACTAAACCTCTGGAACCTCCTTTAAGTGCTCTCGACAGGTATTTGGTGACAGCTTTGTCAAAGCTGACTAACATAGGAGGTAAAGAGATATAAATATTACTTGACTTATTTAGATTGTCAGTGCCTTCAGTCAAAGACAACCAGGAATAAACCTATTGGGTTTGTTACTTCATTCCAGCAAGGGAGAACATACATCCTGGAGAACCATGGGGGTGTCTCAGTAGGAGCACATGTTGGAAAGAGCCCACCACACGATTTGGACTTTGGGTGATTTAGGGAGGGTCTAAGTAAGAGGGATTTTTTTTTTTTCTAGATTGAAAGCTGTCAGAAAATGACATTGACTGTATGACTGAGTAAAGAAGTATTTATCTATTTAGCAAACGAGGCAGATGTGTGGCATTTTGTGGGTCACACAATGACCTTGTTTGTGTCTGTTTTTGGACAAAATTATGAAGTAGCCTTATTTTGTCTCACTTTATCATGGTATCAGAGTAACTGTCTGAGGTTGATATTTTGTAAGATTGTTTATGTTCAACAGAGAACAAAATAACTTGGCTCTGAATGTCATTTCAGTTCTGGACCTCAAGGGCTGCTTTTTTTCTTTCTTAGCATGGATCAGGAAACTTTTGGAATTGCTTCACAGCTTTTGTATATATTCCAAAGCAACCTCCATGTTTAGAGATAAAAATAATTGGCATAGGTAGAACAGAACACTGTAATTACAGAAAAGTTAATAAATAGGGGAAAAAAAAAAAAACAACCCTTGTAATAGATGAGTCAATTAACTGGAAGCCAAATGTGCTCTGCCTAATTAGAACTCACTTCAACCATGGGCTTCTCAGTTTCCCTTCAAATCCCAAACCTTCTGAGTAGAAAACATCTACTATAAAGTGAGGGAAAGGGCCTTAAGACAACAACAAATCATTTCTTGTTTCTAAGAAGGAAACTTGAAAGACAGTGTTTTTTGGACATCAAGTAACTCATTTAAAACACAAATCTGATGAGCTAAGTGTAAATGAATCAGAAACATATGGATTACATTTTATTTAAGCACGGGTTTACAAATTAAGGGGAAAAGTGGTTGGTGAAACTCTTTTCTGGTTTTGCCCAAAACCTAAATGTTTAAAAAAAAAAAAAAAAACAGCTTGAGATGTTCCACAACCCAAATGTGGCAATGTGCAAGGATCCCCGTTGTAAACTATTGTGTAAACTGACAGTTTTGAATTTTAAGCCAAGCATAGGACGTTCTGAATTTTTCTCCTTTCCAAAAAGCATCTTTCTTACAGACTTAGGTGTTTCTACTAAGGATGAGAGGACATATGTGCATACGTGTGTGCATGTGTGTGTGTGAGAGAGAGAGGGGGAATTAGGCCCTTGATTTTCCACAGTAGACTAGGTTTCAACCTGGATTTAGTTTTATTTTTGATGTGTTCCCCAAAATCTTTCTTTTACTCCCAGGGCTCAATTGTTGTTGTTCAAAGGGTTAACATACACCTCTCTGAAACTTGAGTTCCTTAAACTACCTTCCCACAAATAAGGTAGACCTAATGGCCTTGTGCACAGATATTACCTAGAACTGCCATGCCTTTGCTTTGGGCGGAAGGATAATGAAGCCTAGATTCTAATGCTGTATGGAGATAGCTACATTTTACAAGAGAATGACATTCCCATCCTTCACAGGCCATCCCTGAAGTTACTACCGTGTAATATGAAATTTAGTTTATCAGTTAATTCTCAGGACAAGCCACTTTCTTTTATCCAAAACCCTAAGATATAAATCATTCATACATGTACATATCTGTCTTGCTTTAGTCTCCTCATCTGTAAAAATGTGAGATCTGTATAATTATAGGACCTTCCTCATACTCCTATTTTAAGGATAATCCTTTAATTCTGTAAAAATTCAGCATGGTATCTGGCACACAGTAGGTGTACAATACGTGTCAGTAATGATGATGTTCATTGCAACAGGAATTGCTCATTTCTTTGTGCTTCATTGGTGGGAGAATAGAGAGTAACAGACTTTCATGAGAAAATGTCTCAATTTAGGTGTCTATCTGGTCTTGCCAACTGACTGCAAAGGACTACAAAGCATATGCTAATGTAAAGTGGTATCAAAGACTGTTTCTTCCTGGATATGCTAAAAAGCATAGGCACCCTCAATGGTGTTCAAACAAAGAGAAAGTGAATGGTTTATAAAAATCACAAAAAGTGCAGCCTCATTCTCATGCATCTCCCACAGCTTATGCCACTGCCCTTTGCACCTGTCCCAGTGTGACTCAACAGGGGCTTGGTGAGAGGCCAGGGCCAGACTAGATCCTCATGGAATGTGTATGCCACACTTTCTTGTCTTTGAGTCAGAGATGAAAATCCAGAAATCCAACCACTGCATGTCATCAGATTAGTAGTATTGATGGGAATAATAAAAGCATACCTATGTTGCAATGAACTCAATTTTAGATGGAATATTTTCTTTTCTCCTGCCTTTTGTTTCTAAGCTCTTTAGTTTATAAGGATAAAAGAAAAGGAGGAAGGGAAGAAAACAGATGGGAAGAACTGGAGTTTTCAAAACTAGAATTTGTAGGAAAAAACCAATGGAATCACTTTGTGATCCAGGCAGTGGCTCTCCTATACCTTATATATCAGGGTAGTACTCAAGGTCATATAATGTAAATTTATTTCTTACTACTCCTTATTCATCATCAAATAAATTTATTTCTCATTATTTCTTCTGATATGTTCTGGACTTCCAACTTATTCCATTTATCATTCTTTAAAAAACTTAAGTGATTGTAATATTATTATTTATACTTTTCTTTATACATTACATCTTTCATAATGTAGTTTTAAACAACAAATATATAACCAGGCTCTACCTTTTCTTCCTTGGTCCACCCTCCATGTGGCATGGGAGACCCTACTCTCTGGCAGAATGCTACAGTCTTTCTAAGTCAAAGTCAAAATTTATCTTCTCTGGGAGATTATCTTCAATTTTCCTAGGCTGAATTAATCTTTATCTCCATTACATTTTCTCTTACTATGTCTATACCTTAGCTATAATGCAAAACTGAATATAGTATTTCTTGTTTTAAGTCCTTAAAATCCTCTCCATTATTTTTCAGACAATGTAAATTATGGTTTATCAAGCTCTGTCCTCTGGCTTTCTTGCCCATCACTTCCCTACCTTTGTGCACATTCTATACAATGTATTATGCATTGTCCTTTATTGTCTCTGGATCTTTGAATATGCTGTTTCTTTGGGCTGGCACAACTCCCCAGTCTTCGTCCCTTCTCCCACTGTACCTTCAGACCTTCCGTAGATATAACTTCCTCTCAGAAACCATTTCTAGTAGTTTTTACAGCATAGGATTTGATCCCTGGATTCCAATGGCCTATTTATTTGACATCCCAGTGGGCTATAAGCTTTTCTGGGAGCAGAAAGGATCTTTCTTCTTTATTGTTGTTTCTTCGCTTAAATTAATATTTACTGAATAATTATGGTATTTACAACACTCTGCATTTCTGATTCTTGCTACAAAGCTCCTTGAATATAAAGTTATTTGATGCAATTTTTTCTCTTTTCTTTTTTTGCTGTGCTGGGGATTGAATTCATTGCCTCACATACTCTAAGCAAGTACTCAACTGCTGAGTTATATCTCCATCCCTTATTTTTCTTTTTTCTTTCTATCTTAATTCTGTTATTCTGGAAATGTATAATTTTGTCCCTTTCTTATTTCATTTGGTCAAACAGTTTGAAGGCAAAGAATGAAAACTATTATAGATGGGGCTGTGTTTTTGACAGGGAGGAAGGGATCAGATCAGATATTTTATATTTATATCTGAGGATACAGAGGGATAAACAGATAAATATTGAAGTTGGATTTATGCTTAGGTAGTGTTTGAGAAACACGACTTTGCCTTTCTTAAAAGGTCATACAAGTGGGGCAAAAATAGGAAATATACTTTTAATTTTCTTAAAAAATCATCTTCCATTCTGAGATTCTGTGTTTTAAAAGCCAGATCTTAGTTTTGAAACTTCATGTTGAATTTTTAAACTGCTTTTAAAACTCGTTTATCTCTAAAATCAGTTTGGATATGAGTTCATTAAAATTCTATTCACTATTTCTGCCCCTTGGGGCTGGGGAACAACAGTGGTTTCTTTTGCTTGATTCAAATGCCCATGTTAGTCATTCTAGGCATTCCTGTGCCGGGCAGGGCGAGCGAGCCAAGGTGCTGTGCATTCCAAGTGTCCAGCAGCTGGAAAGTCAAGTTTTTTTTTTTTTTTCCTGCAATGCTTTAAACATATATAGTTAGCCTCCCTTACAGCCAGGACACCCTGTCGCTGTTACAGAAGTCAGCACAGAGAAAAGGGCAACAAATAGAAATGGAAGAGAATGACCTCCTTCTCTTGAACCAACAAGTATGTGCGTTAGAAGTTAGCAAAAAAATTTTACCGCATCAACTAGCATCTGCTGCTGGAGGAGAAGCTGCTGTTTCTGCTCCATGATCTGCCTCTGTAGAGTCTGTTTCTTTCCCATCAATTGCTGATTCAACAGTGACTGCTGGGAGTTCATGTAACCACTTCCAGTGTTTGGATTTGAGCAGGGGTTGGGACTTGGACTTGGGCCTGTGTTCTGGCCTACCACAGAGTGTTGATCCTAAAGAAGAGAAAGGAGGGGGAAGCTACCGTGAATTAAAAGAAGAAAAATGTAGCACAAAGATCACAAGCTTAGATTCCAAACATTTTTCATCCTGTTAAAGATTGACCATGCTTAATGGGTTGGAGATCAGAGAATTTTTTTTGAAATGTAGACATAACTGCATATCACAACAACCAAAGCAGGTAGGTTAATGACATCAGGACCCTGGATCAGCTCCCATGTGACTCTGATGCTGCAGACTCCACATTCCAGAAAGTGTTTGTAGAACCTCAAAGAAAAAAAAAAGTACTATAAAACATATGGCAAGCCTTTCAATTTCTCAGGAACAAACACCACAGAGTAAAAAGTACGTCCTTTTCCCTAGAGTTAGCATGTATTATTGCTGATCCAGAGATCAAAATGATGTTCCAAGTCATGTATTTAACAATTTAATGACCATTTTGGACAGACGGCATTCTTCCTTGCCCAGCTTTCTATGACACGAGGGCAGGAAGGCCTATGAACTTCTGTTTTTCAAACACTTTGAAACCTGGAAAGATTTCACTTCTAAGACACTTGTTAATTTCACTCCCTCATCAATAACTCAGTAATCTCACAGCATTATCCAGTAGAACACCTAACCTACTGAAGATAAGAAAATATTGATTAAAAACTCACATTGCATATCAAATAAGATGGATGTTGGTGAATTGCCATTCTAATTTGAAGAATTTTCCAGTGCGTAGGCACTGACAGCTCAGGACCCTACAGGGCAGAAAGCCAAACCCCATCAAGTATTCTCATGAATTCCCAATGATGTGTTTAGGATTGAGCTACTGGGTAAAAAAGACTAGAAAACATAGTTCTGACCTTTGAGAATTTGTCACCTAAGTAAGGGTTAATACACTTATGTATATAAAGATGAGAAATTATGGAAGCACACTTTAGATTATATAAACACAAAGATCCCCAGACTTTGATGATAACCATTTGAGAATCAGATTATAATGCAGATGCCCTGGCTTGCCTGCACCAACCAATCTGTTCTTTCCTCAGGGCTGAGTACCCTTAGGTTCAACAGTGGAAGGGAATGTGTTGGGAAGAAAAATCAAACAGCAGGAACAGGGTGGGGAGATCCTCCTCACCAGTTTGTTCAAAATAATCAAAGCCATCTCTGGAGGACATCTTCTGAGGCTCTGAAGGAGTCAGCCTCTAATACATATATCCCCATAACCAGTCAGTTCTTTAGTGTTAAATCCACCATGGCCCTTGGAAAAGATTTTGTGTGCCTACAGACCACTAGGAATATGGACATGAAGACAGCTCTTGAGAATCACTAACAGAATGGTAGTAGAGGAAGATCTTTGAATTGAATGTCTTGGAGGGCAAGTAGAAGGGGAAATACATGGAGGACTGAGGGTAGAGCCTTTGAGTCCATGCAGACCAAGGAGAGGGAAGCAAAGCCTGTGATAGGGAGAAAGAGGCAGGTCAGAGAAGTGTAAAGATTGGTGGTAGAAGAAATCAAGCTGAGAGGGAATATATATGAGGCAGGGGTTGGCCTTCCACACTCTATTTCAACCAGAATAGAAATCTGCTCTTTTCTATGACATCATTTGGAGTTTTACACAAGACTTTGAAAAGAGTCTTTCATGTTTAAAAAAAAATGGCTGACAAACATAGGTAGGGAAATTTAAAGGATTTTTGAGACTTCTTTGAACAGCCATCCAATGGACAAAAGCATGAGCTCTGGAGACTGGGCCTCCTTGGTTGTGGCATTTATTAGTTGTGTGGTCTGGTAGAAGTTAATTCACCTCTGTAAGCTTGCATTTCCTTAACTGTAAAATAAGAACAGTAATGGTACTAACTCTTTGGGGTTCCTGGAAGAATTAGGGTTGATAATCCAATGCCTAGCACACAGAAAGTACTCAGTAATGATAATTGTTCATAACTGTTAATGTTACTCAACACAAAGGAGCTATAATCTGTTTTTGTTTGATTTTTCCTTGTGAAGCAAAGGACACAGGTCTTGCAGACTGCTGAAAGCTGTCTGTATCAGCTTTATTAGAAATAGAGAGCTCTCTGTTCAGTTGCAGGTTATGATTATGAGCCACTGATGGAGTCAGGGAATTACCTTCATTCTCCTACATGGAGATGTTAAAAAATGGGCTGTCTTTGTGGGTGAGCTTCTTTTACCTGTGTTATAGGACTGCTCAGGACTCCAACACTATGTTCTTTGTTATATTGGCCTCTTTTTAAACATCTAATTATTTTTTCAATATACATTTACCAAGTACTGTGAAATGAAGGTAATTATATTAATGACATAAAATAAATCAGGTAAAATTTAGAAGAGTGTCAGGAACATAAAACTTAATAACACATGATCTTAAATAAATTCTTCTTATATACTTCAATTTTAATTATCAATAATTTGCTTATTTACATGTTTTTGTATTTTTTTTTATATTACAGAATGCTTTAGAGACCATTGTCCTTGTGAAAGAGCTTATACTTATACTATAAGGTATATTTGAACTGCAGATGTGATCTGGTGAGTCTCCAACATGTTTTAAACATAGGTTGGCCCTTCTGATCTCTAGTTGGCCATAGTCTCCTCTACTTCATATTTATTATAGCCAGCTAACTCCTTCATTTGTATTATGTCTCCAGTCTATGTAAGCAATTAGAGTTAAGATCCATAGCTTACAAATTACGTAGCAAGATAAGATATGCCACACACCATACATATATATTCACCCAAAGTTGTGATAGTAAGAAGTGATGCCTAATAATTTTCACTGGGTAGTATGAAACCTACTAGTACCTTTGGATTAAGACCCAGATCACCTAATACCTAGTCTAGTTTCTCATGCATCCATCAATGAATGTGACAAATTTGCTGAATGTCAATTATTCTAGGAAGTTTTCTATTTTCTAGAGTTTAAAAAAAGTATTTAGAAATAAAAATAAAACCATGAGAAGGAAAAGAGGTGGACAGAGTTTTCAATGGCAAAATTGGTGAACTTCAAAATGATTTCTGGAAAGATCAGGAAACCACCCTTCTCTAAGATTTTAAAAAGATTTTCACGTGTGCCAAGAAAATGTAGCTATGTCTCTTTCTCACTCTAATTAAACAGATGGACTGTGCTAAATTTAGTTTGACTCCTTCACAATCCTAAAAGATATTCTAGGACTCCTTTCCCTAGAGTCCAAGGGTTCTCTAAATTTAAAACTAGTGATGAGGTGAAGGTTCACTGGTATGAAGGAAAGAATAAGAGATATATGCTCTTTTTGGAGTTTTGTAGATTTTTAAATCTGTGGCTTCTAGCCCATGGACCCTACCTTGTGCTCTTCTATATACATTCTTTCAGTTCATGATTAAAGTAATATTTTGCTGCTATCACATTTTTTTGCCCTTATGTTAGCTGTGAAACACAAAACACCTCCTTCGCAGACTCACTGTCATTGCCAAGATGTTGTGCAAACTTTAGTACATAAAATATTTTGAAAGAAAAATATGCTCCAATGCATTGGCTCTGGTTTCCATGTTCAGCTTCAATCTTTGCCTTAAACTCAGTCATGTAGAATTTGAGATCACAGAAATCATCTGTTTCTCCCCCAACACATTTTCTCTGGAAGGGCATGTAAAGGTCATGGTAAAAAGAGCACATCTTTAGCCTATAAATGACAGTGTATGTGTGTGATTGTGGATAACTTTATAATATTCCCATTAATGTAGTCTTTTATGTAAAATAAAACCCAATTTTCTAGAGAAACTCAAGTTAAATACTGATGTGTCAGCAAGTAACAGTCACATGACTGTTCCATTTTGTGTATTTTTTTTCCCTGTTTTTACTATAAAGTTGCAGTACTTAATATTTACCTACAAATTAGGTTTTTGATCTCATTCTTCTGGGATTTAATATTAATTTACACTTGATATGTATTTATAATGATTCACATGAATGTGAGAGAGTGTGCATGCATTTTGAGATTTTTAGAGTCCTTTTAAGTCACTAAGATAGGGTAGCATGCCAGTGCTTAAACATGGTTCAAGTTTCTTGATCTTTGTTTTCATCCAGCCCATAACTGCTAGACCAATGAAATTACACATCTATATTCTACTAATAATCAACCTGTCTTCAGAATTCTTAACTTCTCTCTACTTTTATTCATTCATTCACTCATCTAATGTTTGTTGAGCATTTACTATGCATCATGCATTCTTCTAGGCCTTGAGAATAAAGCAGCAAACAGACCAACATGACTTTTCATGAATCTGGAACAAACAAAATTTTTTAATGAGTTTCAGAGTCAGAACCTTTTTGTGGAATAAATTCATTTTTCCAAATGCCATCCCAACCAAGAAGGGTTGGAGATCTCAGTTAAGCATTTCTCTGGTTCTGCACAGTTGGTCCTGCACTTACTCTAATGTCCAATTTTGAGCATCCTCTGTCTCTAAGGTTGTAGGCCTTTCATCAGCATCTCACTACTGTGTCTCAAACCACTACTAGCTTTTAGTTACCTAATTTATGCTCTTTCATTCTGAAAATATTTAAAATTATCCCAAATCAGTAATGAAGATCTCATAATAAATTCATGTACATATTTTTTAAAAAAATCTCCATCCTAGTCTACCATTTAAGAAGAACCTGGATATTCTTGATGGAGTCACTACATTCTAAATAACTATGGATTCAAACTCCATACAGACAGTAGACAAAGCCTCTCTCTGTCCATTCATCCACTTGCCCATCTATCCATCTATCCTATCCGCCAACTTGTCTATTGTCAACCTGTCCGTCTATCTAGTCTAGTTCAAATTCAAAAGCAACAGTCCTTTTTATCACATTCCTAATCATTCAGCTTCTTATATTACAGAAAAATTCTTGGTATATTATTTGAAATACTCTTCAGCACTTTGCTGTTGTTATTAATAGCATATGAATGAAGAAAATGCTAAATACGGATCTTTGCACACAATGAATTCCACGCATTTCTTAAACAAATAAACAAAC